GTCCTAGACTTAAGCTAACTGACATATATAACATCGTTGATATTGAAGCAATTAAAAATCAAGTTCATATAATTCCATGCTTTGATACAACTAATGATTATTTAGTAAATAAGTATCTGTTCTAAAATTAAATTAGATTAGAATAGTTTCATATATTTCAAATTATTTCACATAAAGTATAGTTAATACCAAATAAAATTATAATTTTTAAAATTTTTAAAAAGCAAATAGTTTAGAAAATTTTAAATGACTTAATAAAACTATAAATTAAATAATTCAAGCGATTTTAAATAATTTCAAACTATTTCGAAATTAATTACGTATATAAAATTTAAAATATCATGTGATAAAGAATTTAATTATTTAGAAATATTCTGAAAATAATTAAGTATGTATATTAAATTTAAAAATATCATGTGATACACAATTGGATTAAATTTAAATTTATCTAAAATATTTCGAAATATTTCGAAATAGTTAAAATTAAAATTATATAAATTTAAATAGTTTTATAGTTTCAAATAATAAATAAAAAATACAAACACATGATTTATGATATTTTTAAAATTTTGAATAATTTTTGCTTAATTTGCAACAGTTTGAAACAATTTAATTTTTTCAATTAGCTTATGTTTAGTTTAATTATTTGACTTATTATCGAATAATTCGAAAATATTTTTATTAGAATAGATATATAAATGTAATGTATCAAACTTAATTCAAACTTTCCGAATATATTCAAAACTATTAAATTATGATAAATTTATAATATGGTTCTGGAAATCTATAATCACCAATCATGTGAAATGTTTCAATTTTCTTGTAATCGTGATTAGCCAATAAAATTGCATTATAAAATTAGAGTTATAGTACAACAAATATACAATGGCAAAATACTAAAAAATTTTTTTATTGGAACAAAGTATTACACTTCAAGATTTATTTGTTTTTCAATATTTTCAGGCAAACGACGATGTGTTTTATATTTATTAACAGCCCATTCAGCAATTCTTCCTTCCAAACCTCTATTATAAGCATCTATGTATCTCCAGGATTTGCGAGCAAACTTTCAAATTGTTGTAACAGGAACACTAACAAGAGCCTTAGGAACTTGTTGTATTAAATCTTAATTATACTTGCATAATTTTCTTGTTTTTCGTTTTATATATCCCCAATATCTTTCTATAAAATTACACTCACAATGAAATTTAGTGTATCGTTTAAAAATATGCCCCTTTTTAAGAACTGCTTCTTCTAACATTGATTTTTGTTCAAAGAAATTAGGCTATAGTGAAATTACTCTTCGTGTGCAACAATTTAACCTTTCTGGATCATCTTTATTTTTTCCAGAGCATTTTTCACATACCAATCAAAGACCCTTAGATGGCCACAATTTACGCTCTATAAGTACTTGTTTTATTCCTTTTGCTTCTTTTTGCAGTTTTTTTACTTTGTAATTTTTTGGAAATATCATTGGTTGTGTAATTCTCTCTCCATTTTTATTAATATACTAGCCATCATGTAATTTAGATTGGGCTCCTCCAGAACTCAAATTCATTTTTGTTGTAACTAATACATTTTTAGCCATCGCATTGTAATTTGTAGATTGATCAAAACAAAAAACTCCAATACAGCTAGGATAAAGTAATTCAAATATTGGAATTGCCTGTTGTTCTAGTTGTTCTAACATATACTCTGATTTCCAATATCTATCTATCTGTATAGAGCAAAAAATAAATGCCTCTTTATATTTAATATATGAATTTGCTTTTATCTGCTCATTTGATAGCTGCATTAATCCATGACATGGGCAAAGAAAAGCTGAAACCATAATAGAGTGTCTTTCACCTTTTGGAAATAAGAGATCTTCATTTTTTTCAATTCAAATTCTTTTTTGCCCATCATTAGCATAAAAATAGCATTTATCATGCGTAATCTATAGTTTATATTATAAGCATATTTAAAAAGGTTTAAACAAGTATTAAAAAAAAAATACAGCTTTATTTAATTTAATATTAATCTTTAATTAATTTTATATTTGATATTAAAATTTATTAGATCTTGAATTATTAAAAAAAGAAAATATATATATTAATTATATATGATATTTACTTGTATTATTTCTTTTTCTTCAGGGCCAAGCTGAGGCTCTACCACGATATCCAATCTATCACCATCAAAGCTTTTCATATATTTCTTGTAAGTAAACATTCTATTTAACTATCCCTTTCTATAAATCACTATATCTGATCTTTCGTGTCCATTATAATAAACGCATTTTTTTTTTCATCATATCTGAACCCCCACAAATGCATATAGGTTTGACATGTTCTTTCAGAAATTGTATTTTTTTTAATATCTTCTACCATTTGAGAAAATATCATACCTTCTATATGATTTTAAAGCTTGAAAAGAATGTGACTCAGGCTTTTGTTGATGTAGCTAACTTTTACATTCATCAGAAAAATCTTTATTTTTTATTAGGCTCTTTAATTTAGAATGTTTTCCTTGGCGATCAACAAGAAGCTCTCCTGTTTTTATAAAATAATCACCCTATTTTCTAATGAATTTTGCTATATAGTCCCCTTTACCCCATATAGTTTGCGCAAGATAAATACTTGTATTTATCTTACCTTGTCTATCCAATAATAACTTTATGTACCGACTTATACTTAGAAGTCGTAAATAGTTATATATACACAGGTCGAAAGATAAAAAATCAGGCACAAATCAGATACCCAATTTTAAACTAATTATTACCTAATTACCACCTGATTTATGCATATTTTTGTACCAAAAATTTGGTACAAAAATATGCATAAATCAGGTGGTAATCAGGTAGTAATCAGTTTAAAATCGGGTACCTAATTTGTTCCTGATTTTTTATCTTTCGACCTGTGATAGGTGTATTGACCTTTGATGATTTTATGACTTTACATTGTGCATTAACCTCTATTAAACGTATTTTTAATTTTTCTGTAATATCAGATAATGGTAAGTTAGACGTAGTTATATAAGAAGATGCTGGTGTTATAGAAGGTTTAAATGTAGATAGTCATGTTGGATTTACTAATGATAGAGTATTGGATAATAGCACCATAGAAAATGATTGTAGTAACTGTAATCGTTTTACAAGATTAGCAGCTGGAAATAGATGTGATAAATTAGGTAATATTTCAACATTTGATGATACTCTAGCTTTTTGTATTTTTCTCCAGGCTGTTGTTCTTGACATTCCGGTATATAGTGCTTTACTATGATTTATTTTAACAATTCTTGGTGCTGTAGTAACTTTATTCATAGATTCAACTTGTAATAGTTCTTCAGTGATTTTATTCTCTGGTAATTCTATAATTTTATCCTCTATAATTTTATTTTCTATAATTTTATCCTCTATAGTTTCATCCTCTGGCAATTCTATAATTTCATTTTCTGATAATTTTGTTTATATCTTTTGTGATGCAAAATGACCTTGTTTTCTAGGTAATTTAGATGCATGTTTTTTTTTTTTGTTAGAATATGGTATTGGATTTTAGAATTAATTCACAATTAGGTTAGTTCAAGAATTTGGAATTATATTTAGAGTAATGGTATTAATATACAAATTTCAATTAACAGGTTCAATTATTATAAGAAAAATCTAAGAAGCAAAATCCTGCTTTTTTTTTTTTAATAGACCCTACAATATACGTCAAAGTGATGTCAGAATAGTTTGCAGAATAATGCTTGAATATTTTATGCATTACAAAATCATGAATATGCAATCATAAACTGATTAAAATCATGACTTCGTGTCTTAATCAGTTTGTGATTATATATTCATTATTTTATCTAGGGTATACACAAAATGTTTCATTGCAATTAATAGTTGTCATGATATTATATTATATAAGAGTTTGATGATAAATTAAATGATGTATAGACAATGATAGGCCACTATAATGAAACCAAGGTAAGAGCTTTTTGCTAATCAATTTTTATAGATTTTTTTTAGAGCCATTGTTTATATTTGGATTCAATACAGTACTATGTCTGAGTAAATAGAGACACAATTTTATTATGTCTAATTGATCAAGAGCTATCCATAATGTTAATTATCAGGTTGATTGATAAATTAGGATTTAAATCACTATTATATAAATTATTTTAAATACATTTAAAGAGAATTTATATTCAATGCTATTCATACTACTTTTGTACAATAAAAAAAATATTAAATATAAATAACTACTGAAGTTTGGATATTAAAATATGAAATATTTTTTTCTGACCAATTCCTTTATTTAATAATAGTGCATAGTTTATTATTTACCTTTGAGGTTAATTTATTAAAATGATTAATCGAAATTACAGATTTATATCACATTATCAAATTATTTAACCATCTTAAAATACCAACACGAATTACTATTTAATTATTTAATGCCCTAAAGCCTTATAATATTGAAATTCTAAGGGGGCAAATTGAACGCACAGTATAATTTTGACTTTTAATATTAACAATTGGAGAATTTCAATATAAAGAAAATCTGGTTAATTCCGAATACGCAGATTGGATGTGAGCGATTTTAGCCAATCAAATTTTGCAAATCCCTTACATGACTGTTTCAATTTCGTCAAAGCATATAAACTTCTAAATGCTAAAACTTTTTACTGAAGTGCTTTTTCAAAAAAACTGATCGATAACTTTATTCTTTGTAATAAGCACTACAAAATTATCAATTGATTTTTTCGAAATACTTTGTATGTAATAATGTTTAGTGGTTTGAATATTTCTAATTTTTTGATCACATGATTGGCGATTATAGATTTCTGGAACCATATTAAAAAACAATATAATAATATATTTAATAAATATAATAATATAATAAAAATGTATATAAATATAAATTAATAAATAATATATATATAAAAATAATAAAAAATAATAAAAAATGTAAAAACTTATAAAAAGAAATATTCAGAAGAGGTATAATTATTATGTAAAAAAATTTTTAATTTTGTTGTTCTTCTTCTTCTTCTTCATCTTGATGCTTAGCATCTTCTGTTTGAGAATTTTTAAGATTTGCTGTTTCAATATCTTGTGGTGGTAGTAGTTAGTGGGTAGGTGAAATTACTTGCGGTATAGGTGTATAAGTTTCAGAGGTATGCGAATGGGTGCAAGAGATATGTACGAAAACAGGGCTTAAGAAGGTTCTGGCGGAGGTTTATGAAGGAGCGGTAGTTCTGGCCTTTTTTGTGGATCTTGTGTTATATAATAATGATGGTGATTTCTCTCTAGTTTGCTTTCTTCCTCATGTTTGGGTTAATGATCCAGCATCTTTACCTTCAGTGTCTGTTAATAGACCGGAGATAAATAGTAATTCTTTTTCAATTTTTTCTTTAAATTTGTAAATTGTATATATATTTGAATATTTAAAATTAATTATTTTATTTTTTTTTTATTTTTATTTTTTAATTCTTTGATAGTCTTGCCAGTACTCAATTTATTTAAGACTATATTTAGGTGAGAGTTGAACTCTTTTGAACAATACAAATTATTCATAACCATAAAAGGCATCTAGCGATTGCGAGCCTGACATCATCTGGCTGCGATTAATGTGCCCAAATGCGACTTGTCACACCAACCTGTATACAAGTTAGATAAACTTTGTCAGCCCATCAAAGCTTTTTCCTTTATATTTTCTTTTTTTACCAAGAGCAAAAAAAAGTAATGATCTTATTTCCAATACAAAACCACCAATACTACCAAGAAAACAAAATAAAAAACTAACTAAAAAAAAACAAATAGAACGAAGAGAGAATTTTAAAGGAAAAAATAAAAGGGGTATAATAAAATGTAAAAAAGAAAATCAAAGAGAAAAGCCTGAAGGCCAACAAAGAAGAAACTACCTCTATCAAGAAGCAGTACAAATTGAACAAAAGAAAATACACTATTATAACCCATACCAGGTTTAAGAAAAAATTTTATAACAACTGCACCGTTTGTATATCTTGACTACAAATTATTATCCGACTACCGACTATCTCTGGACGCCTCTAGAGACCCAATCCCAGTCACGTGGAGATCCCGTATTTATAGACTACGTCACATCACATATCTACTAATAAACAAGGCATGTGGTTGTATTTCTGGGTACTTCTGAATTTGGGAAATAAACAATGTCGATCTTTTGGAGAGGGTAAGCCAAATCACCCACTTTTTGTCAAAAATTTTGAAGAAAAACTGGCTGAGCAAAAAACATCTAGGAAAAGACCACTTGTACCTAAGGAAAGTCGTTATATCCATATAAAAACTCAACAATTTCTAAACCTTCTTCTAGGAAAGAGGTGAGGACTTATGCTTTCTTGTCGGTAAGTAATAAACTCTGGGCTTGTCGGCAAGTAGCATATGAAAACTACTTCTAAACGACAAGTGCTATGTGTTCGGTGAGTGATAGACTCTAAAGAAGTTAGCAAGTAGCGTATGAGAACTACCTCTAAATAACAACTGCTGACTTATAGCGCTGCCCTCCGTTTTTTACTATACTCTATTGTTTTTTTACAAAAAAAAATGTATTTGGAATTTTGGTACGAGTGATCGTCAGAAAGAGTTGAGGTTAATTTTTTTTTTTTTTTTTTAATCTTCATGGGAATTGCCATGGCTTTGCTTTTTATTAACAACATATATAAACTATATACATTTAATTTATAGAACTACAAGCCCAACTTCATTTGGTTACCTTATGGTCCTTAATGCAACCTGTTGCACTAACTCGCAAACAAGCTAGAATTATCTTATCAAAAAATCTATAAAAAAACAAAAACGAACTATGACTAAAAAGGAGATGTAAAAGGGGGAAGTAGGGAAAAATGAATGAAATATAAAAATAAAAAAACCCAAAAAAATAAAAAACAGAAAAAATAAAAACATTTTATAGAAAAAAGATAATAGTTTGAGAGAAGTTTCACCTCTTTACATAACCAGAATGCACTATTATAACCTGTACAAGGCTGAAAAAATTATAACAAATGCAACGATTGTATATCTTTAATGTAAAGCTTTGCCTTAATGTATAAAATTTTCTAACTTATGACCGCTTTCGGATATCTCTTTACCCGGAGGTTCCGATTCGACTTCTTCAGAGTAGCACCATATTTGTAAACAGATACGTCACGTAGTTGCATTCTACTGAGTCCGTCTGAATTTGGAAAGTAAACAATGCCGGTCTTTTGGAGAGTGTAAACCAAATCCCTACTTTTTGTAAAAAATTTTGAAAAACCGATAGAAGGATGAGAAAAAGAAAAAGAGAAACCATCTAAGCCAAAAGAAGGAGTGTGGCTTTTAGAAAAAAAAAAGTTTTGTTGTTTCTCCTGTGTTCTTCTTTGAAGTAATGACCTAGAAGCTTCGTCGACGAAGTTGAGCCTTTTGCCCAAACTCTACCAAGATTTTTTATACAAGGGCACCTTTTGCCAGTTATCTTGTATAATAACGCTCTTGGCTTGCATGCCAAATATCTTTTTAGAGGAGTCTCGCAAAGCAAAAACATTGATCTCTAGACAAACCACAATGTAGGCTATAACTCTCCAACAAAAAATTCATTTTCTATTAGTAGGAAAATTTGATTTTGATGGAAAGAGTTGAGGTTAATTATTTTAGTCTAAATATTAAATTTTATATTTTATATACTATATTACTTACAACATTTTTTCTTAATTTATTGCTACACCTTGCATCTTTCAACGTCAAATTTTTATAGTGATTGCTAAGCACTACTTGGCATACAGTTATTATATATGCCAATTGAATAGTTGAAGGTGTGGCACCAGACTACACCCTATTGAGAATTTTCATTATACCGTATTCCTCCGAAAATAAGCACCCCTTTTTTGCTATAAGAGTGCTTATTTTCGGGTATAAACTCAACTAATAATTTGAATGATTTGATATTTAGTTACTTATTTCTAATATATAAGAGGTGCTTATTTTCGGGTATATATGATTTGTAGAGGGTGCTTACTTTCGGGGGGTGCTTATTTTCAGAGGAATACGGTATATGTATCTTTAGAGTTATCAGTATTAATTTTCTCAAATAGTTTAGCATAGGCAGATTGTGTCTTTGAAGAGGCCTTCCAGTCTAAAATTTCTCTTAGAGTTGTATTAGCTTTTATTGAATCTAACCCCCTCTTACCAAATACTGAAAAAATTGCATTTTTAATTCTAGACAAAAGAGCGCTTTTTTGCGAGTGATATGTCTCCTTAAGCTAAATAAATTATAAAGTTAAGAGAATATACAAAATTAGTTCAAATAAATTCAAATAAAAATTTAAAAACAAATATATTTTATAATTTTCGAAAAAATTCAGAAGTAATTAATTTAAGCAAAAATAATAATTAAAGTTTAAATGACATATATGAAAATAATTAAAAACAAATAATAAT